TTTGGTAATTTTATTCTTCTTCACATCAACTTTGACTGGTCCAAATTTTGAGATTTCATGCTTCTGTTTTCTTGTCTTGGCAAAACTTTTTTCATCTGTACAAAAATATCGCCATATATATATATATATGAATAACGCAATAAGGTTTTAGTTGTCTAAAATATTCCAGTCAAAAGTATAGGGGAAGAATAATATATTATTATTAAGGAATTACATTTAAGCTATAAATATTTTATAAAGTCATTTCATGAAAGGAACATAGGAAGGGTGTTAAGGGGCAATCTGTCCCAGGCTACAATTGTGCCTTTATATAAAGGGGCGGCATTTTCGAACAATTATTGGGCTTAAAAAATCTTGTGCCGTCCTGGGATGCACTAACATTAGTTAAGCTACTGGTTCATTGTATTAAAACCATGCAAGATATTTTAATTTAGATAGTTCCATAAATGTGAGAATTAAAGTTGTTCCATAATGTTTGAGAATTAAAATTCGAACGCTTCTCCGTCACATTTTATCAAAAGCCTTGAATGGGGCCAACAAAGGAAATAAAAACTGTTGATTAAAATGATCCACATATTTCCTTAGTCGAAAAACATCTATCTTTGTTTTGGTAATTGTGTCTGGCTTATGCTTTATTTTACACATATTCAGATTTCATTGTTAGTGCTAAAACTGTCCATGGCTAATAGTTTAAAAAAACTGATAAAGCTGCTTAACAACTAGAAAAATATGCAAGAATCACTCACTTGCAACACAATTCATTAGTGAATAAATCAATGCAATCACATCGGCTGTTATACTAACAAACATCACATTTTATTCTGAGAATCTATAAGTCAGTAGTATAAGTGAGTCTATCAAAACTTACATTTTTTTTCCCCAAAATCTTGGATTGCTTTCAATGTATCCAGCTTTAATTGCCACACTGCTTCACACCTCTCTTTGATGTCTACAACATTATTCCCTCTCATGTCACACAAGAATATTTTGTTTAATTGACAGGAAGAGCCTTCTTCATCCAAATATGTTTGTATAGCATTGACGATCGCTGTTAGGACACCAACCTTACCGATTTTAAGCAGGCCTTAGAGAGAGATTTTAAAAAAAAATATCATTAAAATCTTGAGAAAATCAATAATGGAAATTTATATTACTGAGAGAACAATAAACATGAATGTTGATGATAAATACTGTGTGAAAATTTTATCAAAATTTTGCATAAAATGAAAAATAATAATTCTCCAATTATATTTTATTTATTTTTATAACTAAGAAAAAAAATATACAAAAAATATATAATGATAGCTGATTCAAAGATGAACAAGTTAATACAATAACTGATCAGATCAGAGCTATTTCAGATTAGTTAATTAATAATTTTCAAAAATCTCCTTAAGATTTTTAAGAAATGTGAAAAAAACGTCAGACTGCAGAGAGTTAACAATACTATTACAAATATTCTAAAAATTTTGTTACGCCTACCTGTTATTACCATAAAAGGTATTGCAACTGATTGCATGTTGTGATTGTTTGCCTCTCCCAGACAAAGCAGAAGTATTTCTTTAGCATCATCAAAATTGCCAGATAAATTTGAAAGAGCGAAATGAATAATTCTCTTGATATTTTTTAGAGTACCGCCTGAAGTGATTTTCAGTTTTGTTGACAGTGGATATCTCTTCAGCTCATCTTCAATTTTAACACCACCTGCACATAATAAATTACACACAACACAACAACAAAATTTTAAAATTATTAGTCTTTGCCAAGGAACTATTTTTAAGAAATTTATAACATTACAATCCTGAATTATCAAACATACAGAAAATTCTACCATATAACCTATACATTGGAAGACCCAATATATAAGAAATTATCTTTGAAGATGACTGGTAAGCCTTCTATCTAACAAACTATCTTTGAAGATGGCTGTTTGGCCCATTATCTAACAAACTATCTATGAAGATGGCTTTCAGGCCCATTATCCAAGGACTATCCATTTCCAGATCACTTAAAATGTGTGGTTTTTCTTCACTGCAAGAACGTGAAAGTTCACACTTATCATACAATACCAGATTCATATGTTTTGTGAGATACAATTTTTTTTAATTAAATAAACTTCTCACATAGAATTTATCCTCAATAGACTTCTGACCGTTACACTTATAACAATAATTGACGAACATTTTTTCTTTGTTTGTTGTTTAAAATTGTATCAATCAAAATAACAAATTTATTGAACTAAATGCATTTGACTGAGTAGGGATAAACATTGTCCTATGTCGTTGTGCAAAGATAAAGGCCATACTATGACTAGACAAGTAAGACTAGACAAATTTAGGTGAATAGCTGAATTCATAGAAAAGATTTGTAAATTTAAAAAAAAATGTTTCTTAGCAGCGAGCATATAAGATTGTCACATGCTTTGAATTGTTTAGCCTTGGGTAAAGCTTGGCATTAATGCATCATATGCTACTTATAAATATATATTGTAGGCTTTTTTTATCATTTAATTATTGTAATCTGTTTGAAATTGATTGCTAAGATAAGAATACTTATAAAAATTTCTATTATACATTTTTAACATTCCTATTACATGTCATTACCTCTTTTTAAAATTGCCTTTCCAATTTCACTTTCAGTTAGTGGGTGAGTGGTATATGGGTTGACTATAGCCTCCACTGTTATATCTAAGATGTTACCACAAGCGAATATGATTTCACAGTTTCTTATCTTACAAGAAGCTATTTCGTTTATGCTGGAGAAGGGAACTGATCCAGGATCATGTTTTTTGTCAAGTAATCCCCTGCTTTGAAAATCAACTTCTCTGATCAAACAACTGTTAATTATTTCAAATTCATCTACTAATTTTTTGCCTTTAGATCCAGATAGAAAATCTCTGATTCCAAAATAGTTGAGTTCAAACCCTTCAGCTGCAACTTTGTCTCTGTTGAATAAAATAACACATCAATAAATAGTTTATATGTATGTTTTATGACACTGGTAGCAATTAGGCTTAATCTAATTTCATTGGGATTAAGAGGGATTAACTGCAAGAGTTAAAAATAAAAACATGACATGGCTTTCAATGTTTCACCTGAAAAATAATGTTTTTTTAAGTAAAGGGAAGACACTCTGTCTTACACATATTCATATACACAGGCACTCACACACACACACTAAATTAATAATAAAGATTGTATGTATATAATTATAGAAACCTACAAAGTTTGCTTGATTGTTATTAAACAAAATTATAATCATTTTGCTTATTATTTTTTGTATTTATGTTTGATTTTCTCACAGGTGTTTTTAAAAAGTTTTTAAAAACATCTCTTGCATCCTTGAAATGTTGACTCTGAGTCTGAGACCCCTCAATGGAGTCACATATTTACCGTTTAAAACAAAAATGTATCATTATTAATAACAATGCTGCCGTATATTAGCATTAAACCATCTAATTTTTTTGTAAACTTCAACAAAATTTTTTTAATTTAATACGAAAAAAGCATTACGCTTATACAAATAGTAAGAAACGATTGAGCTTATACTTATAGAGCTTTTTAAAATTTATTTAAAGACCCCTTTAGTTTTAGCAATGAAATTAAAAATTTAACTAATCCGATGTTTAGAAAAAAACTAACAATAGGCCTACATGGATGGGAGGGGGAATCTTTGAAAGCTCAACAGGTGGTCACAAGGGCGAGGGAGATGTACAAAATTTAACTTAAATTTATTGACCGTTTTAATAACCCCTCCCCTTTTTATGTGACGTCATATAGAAAATCATTTGACTTTCACTTCTTTTCACCAAACTTTGTATAATACTGAAAGATCAATGACATTTTTACTGCAGTGACAAATTAATAACGTGTTAGATAATGAGTTTTATCTATTGTCAATAACTTGGTGGATACCGGTACATTTAAGATTTTCATAAACATAATTGTTTGTTTTGCTTGTTTTAAATTAATGATCCAGTATTACAATATTTAAAAAAAAAGATTTAACCACTAAGAACAAAATTAGAATCCTTAATTTACCTTAAAATATAAAGAACTTTTATTCCTGCAGAAGTGACATCTTGAGACCCTTGCAAAATAATTTTGTCAGATTTACATTCCAGTGATACACCCTGCTTACTCATATCATCGACAAAATGATTGTACTCCTCTGGTATAAATCTTTGAATAAATTCCTGTTCTTCTCTTGAAATTATCAACTGTTCTGTATGGATCTGATTCTCCTTCATAAATTTATCTACTAATTCCATTACTTCATACATACATTTACGAAGGGCAACAATCAAGATGCTCTCATTTTTTGGTTCCAGCTTAACTACTGAACATGTTTTGCCATCTTTGTTGCCACATAATTTTGTGATGAACTCTGAACCTTTTGGAGACTGGAAGATAGAAAATGCTTTACCACAGGACATTTCTTTCAGCTCAATTTGTTCTTTCACAAATGCAATTAATTCAGTAGGACTACTTGAATTACTATTAGGAAAGCTGTGCAATATCACATTATCATCTTTGCTCTCCAAAAATGCAGCATGACCTTTCTTCTTAAGCTTTTTGTTGATGCAGCTTCGAACGTCCCATTTTTTCAGAAGATCTAAAGATGTAATGTGTATATGTGTCACATTTAGCACTGTCTTCTCAAATTTTAGTATTTTTTCTGAAATTTTCTTTTTTGCTTCTTTAATATTTTTTTCAGTGCCCGTTATAATTATATTTTCCCTTCGGAAGTCTTTTTCTACACTGATGTCTTTAAAGAAATTGAGGATCTGTAGGATCTCTTGTTCATGCTCATTCAGGCGCACAGATACTTGCATTACAGCTGCATTATTTGCATTGCTAATTTTATCTTTATCAGTTCTCTTGTTACTCATTGTTTGATCTATTTCAGGTGCAGTATTCTTATGTTTGTTTCGAATCGCCGTTTTCTGTTTAATTTTTTTTAATTGACTGTTTTCAAACGGCACTTGATTTTTTTCTTCAGTTCGACTTTTGCCACTCTTCTTTCTTAATTTTTTCTCTATTTCTTCTTCTTCTTCTTCTCCAGATGTTGAATACCGGTACTTTTTTGTACTTTTGCAATCATTCCTTCTCAATTTCTTCTCTATTCTTTCTTCTTCAGATGATGGATACTTTTCTGTACTTTTGCCAATTCTCTTTCTTAATTTCTTCTCTTTTTCTTCTTCAGATGTTGGATCAACTTCTTTATTTTTTCTCTTTTTATTTCTTAATTTCTTCTTTTTTTCTTCTTTTTCTTCCTCTTCGTTTTCCCCTTCTTCAGATGTTGAATCCATGTCTTTCTTATAAGCCCCCTTAAATTTTTGTAGGTTAGACTTAATTTGTTTTTCACTGCTCTTGCTTGTCATTTTTAAGTCGTTTTTATGGAACTTTTCTTCATTTGGAATTTTGTGTTCATTAATTTGTCCATCCCCAAATTTTACTGAATCTTTGAGTTTAGCTTCTGAGCTACTTTTATGACACATTTTTTTGAATTTTTTTGAACTTCCAAAATGTTCTTCAAAAGCTTCCGTTGTGAGACAGTGGTGAAAGTAGTCAATCTTTAATTTTTTACCTTCAAGTTCATGTTTAGATTTGCTCAAAAGACTTTCTATTGCTTTAGAAAGAAGGAATAAACTTATTGTTAACAACATACTGAAAATATAAATTGATTGAATAATAAATACAGAGACGTCAGCTCAATAAAATAATTTCTAAGACTGCATAAAAAAATACTAAATCAAGGTAAGGATCAACTGTGCAATCAAGGATTTAAAAAAAAAATGGTAATTTAAATTTTCCTTAATTTTTTAATAACATTTATATTATAATTAATACTATGGTAGTTCTAATAGACAAGAAATTATGTGACAACATATCTTTTCAATTTAAGTTCTCAGACAATAAAATAAATACTTAAAACGTATAACTTTCTCTTAATTCTTTTTATGTGTTTTTAAATCAGTTGTGCAAATTATGCAATTTTTGTCTGTCTGTTGGGAACAATGAATGTAAATTGCTCAGATGAGTAATTAACAGTTGGACCCGTCAATGTAAAATTTTTATATCTTTATGAGTTAAACGATTGCTTGTTTATATCATTAAGTTTTCATTACTTCTTTTAACTTAAAATTTGTGATGACAACTTTAAAAAAATAAACAAAATTAATTCGTGTATTTAATTCATAAAGCTCTGACTTGAGAATTAAAAATTATGTAATTATTATTATCATTCAACTTAACTCTTAATAATCAATATTATAGATACTGCACGAATAGTGTGAGTGTTTTTGGTGTCATTGTATCTGGAAAAGCTGCAGATTACGCTCACAAAATAAAATTCCCAACTCTGTTTTGAATCTGATTGTAAAGAAACATTGTAAATGGAAATATTTTAATTAATAAAGGGATGTTGTATTTTTTTTTTTTTTTTAATATTTAAATTAATTATAAAATGTCAAAATCAAAATGGGCACTGCTAAATATTTCATTTTTATTTCATTATCTTATGGAAATATTGTATTTCCTAAGCAATATGTTCAAAATTTTAATGCACCATTAATTTCTATTTATTAATAATTAGTTGAACTGAACTTAGAAAAAGATTGCAAGAGTGGGAGGTGACGGGGGCATGGATGTAGAGGGGAGGTGTTTTGCAGCTCCAATGGGGTTTATTGAAGGACCACTGTGAACGTATACAGGTCTACCCCATATTTATCGACTTGAATAAGGCTTTTGACAGGGTCAATAGAGGTGGCCTTTGGAAAATCATGAAGAAATA